TTCCAGCTACCACTTTTTTTTCTTTTTTTTTTATCACTGTCGATTTTTGTGCAAATCTGTGCAAAAAGCGGATCACAGAGCTTATTCAGCTTCGTACATATTTTCAGAAAACCTCAAATTCTGATTGGTCAGTTAATATTTAAATCATGTTCTTATCTACGTCTGAATAACATCGAACTTGTTCTTGACCTGACTAAAAAATAATTCCTCCCAAAATCTGTCATTACCTTTCGAGTCCGTCACGTGATTACGTTGACTATAAATATCAGACACAAGTTCGTTCTATTTCTTGATTTTATTCGCTTACGAAAAATGTAGTTGTAAAAGAAATCGCGTCTCGACTCTAGTTCGGGCGGACGCTATGAAAACATATTCACACACGCACACATACACGTACGTACGAAACTTTCTAAACTTCATTACGAACATTACAAACACTAACCTATTACGAATATTCAACTACAAGCAACGAAACTTAATTACGTAACATTACAAGCAATGGAAATTTAATTACAAATATTACGGAACATTCACTCCTACAACTCTACTCTAGTTTATTAAACATATTCTCAGCTTTATATAATTCTTTCAACTCTCTCTCACAGTAAACATTTTGAACGGAAGTTCATTCAACTTTTTATGAGCTCAGATAAAAAAAATATTTCATTAGTAAAGACTTTAATACCAGACGAAGGGAAGTAACTCCTATTAACTATTCATGTATATCATTTGATATACATAAAATATAAATATTTTTCTTGCTATAAAAAGTTATTTTGTGTGTGTGTGTGTGTGTGTTCTTTCTCTTATTGCTTTTTCGTTTGCTTATACATTCGTAAAGTAAAAAATGTACGGGTTGATTTAGTCCGTCAATAGCGCTACAAGTTGATCTCAAGATTTTTAGCTCAAATTTCTGAGTTAGGCCTATGTCTACCGAGCCCCCGAACATACGGTAGACTACCAGTGGCCCCAAAGTTAGGCTTACCAGTAAGTGAAGTTAGGCTACAATATACAATAACGTGTAGTAAAACTAAGTAATTTCGCATCACTTCTGTGTATTGAGACATTAACCATATCTTTATATATGCGTTGTATAACAAACAACCTACGACACACACCGATAGGTACCGTGTTGTATCGGTATAACTTAGCGAATATTTAAAATTCGTCAGGTCTATAAAGTCAATATTAACTCTAATAAAATCTTAATTCAATAGATTGCAAATCATACCAGGTAGTTTTTTCTTTTTTTTTTTTTGATAGTACTGCGACGTATCGTATGTGATTGTGGTGTACAGTCATTGTTAAGAGTTGTGTCCCACTTGTTTACAACTCGCTAGTAAAGCTTTGCATTTTTAGTAACCTTCATTTCAATTTTCAAATATTTTCTTGAATTTCATTGGTTGTTAGATAAAAATAAGCTTCGAGAAATTTCCATAACAAAACAGTCAAAAATTAGTGCAAAAGTAGGGTCAACTCTTACTCAAATTCATCCATAATTTGAATGTTTCAAGAAATCCTATTGGCTAAAAAATTAAAAAAAAAAAAACTATAACATTCGCCCAGAAAAATTTGCAACAATCTACCAAGCTGCTGGAGCCGATTTTGTTGTTAAAAAAAAACTATAAATAGAAACAGCAAACGAATTTTCTTCGCATTTTGATATTCACGCACGCAAAGATCCACACGGGAATTATGTGTCAAAATTGCCGCCAAAGAAAAACTTTCCTTATGAGAGATTAGAAAAATTCATACAACAAACATTTTCACTTAATAACTTTCATAGAAAAATCATTTGTCTAAGCTAAATTCAACCTTTCAATCAAAGGCAGTCAACTTTTTACACATTGAACATTTCTGAAACAGCAAAGAACTTTTTCTCTATACCTTTGCACACATCATTACAAAAAAAGTAATTGTAAATTGTGTATATAAAATCTGTTGTTTCAAACATGTATTTTTTGTCGTGATTGAATATCGTTACCATTTGGCTATTTCTTATCATTTATGTTTGTGGATATTGCATATTTTATTTGCAGCACAGTCTTACTCTTAAATGTTCACGCATCCATCCTAGATCCACTACACATTTTATACCCAACATGTAAGTCGACCCCTAGTTTGGAAATATTCTTTTTAGTTTTTTATGGTTGTTCTCAAATTGAAGATGCTATGCTGAATTTTTAATATTAAGTACAATATCTATATCTGCAATACCAACTTTAATTGTCCTTAACCATGAATGACTTTTGTAAAGAAAATAAATTTACGATTTTAATAACAATTGAATATTAGAAAATATAGAGTTGCCTCCCTTGGCTGATTCGTTTGGCTTGCAGACGGATTAATATTAACCTGTGAAATAGTTTGTGTTTATCATTATTTAAAAAATGTGTTATCGCAAAGCCAATTGAATATGTAAAGTTGTTTTAGCGAGTTAAATTTAAACGATAAAAAATGCAGACGTCAATAACTTTAAAAATTTATTCGTTGCGTTCATCAAGCAAAGGGACACAACTCTGTAAATCTTAACGTCAGTGACTATCAAGTCAACTATCTATTTAGTTCTTGTTTTTATATCATTTGATTTCGTTTCTGAGATTTTAAACTAGCAATCTATGGGGAATAAATTGACACAAGCGAGAAATTAAACGTTCAAAGAAATAAAATGTGACAAAAATTAAAAAAAAAATTAAAACATCACCAATCCTGAACAAAAGAAAGGTCGGATTATTTCCTCCTTAACTTCTGAAACTCTTACCAGGGAACGCTCTCCGGTTCCTTTGGTGATTTACTTGTCCGCTAATACGAACAACAACAACAATGTAAAAAATTTATATCGGAAGAACGTAATCACTTTTACCACACACACACACACACACACAATTACTAGACATACTTTGAAACGTGTTCATCTCACAGCGTTTCGATGTGGACTGCGACCAGAGTAATTGATCCTATCAATAAAACGGTTATTAATCTGGAACGAAACGATTCACTAAAAAAAAAAGATTTTCCATTTTATCATACTAATATATATATATCATTTTATCATACTAATATATATATATATATCATTTTATCATACTAATATATATATATATATATTGTTTTACTTTGTATTGAGCACTTTTCTGAAAGTAAATGTTACGAATAATGGAATTTTGCTCTGTCTTTCTTTCATTTGTGTATATATATATATATATATATATATATATGTGTGTGTGTGTGTGTGTGTGTGTGTTTCACATAATTCATCGAGTCTGGAACAAAATAATGACGAAAAGGGCGTCCAGTGCTTTTTGTATTCTGTTGAGGATTCTTGTTCTAAACTCGATGAATTATTACGAAATATTATTCAAAACTTTAAAAAAATTTATTACACACACACACACATATATATATATATTTAAACATATAGTGTTAAATATAACAGACAATGAATGTTTGCTTGAATTTCGGGTGTAAATAAAGACAAAAATTGTCTAACATTTGTACATTTTTTTTTCTTAATTTGGTCCTAAGTTTTCGGTTCACATGAGACATCCTCGGAGTAGTTATATAGACATGAAACAAAGATATCCATCGTCAAAGATGATATTTTATTTTGACGTAGAAAATTGCTATGCGACGACAACCATCGCGGAATAGTAGACGAAGATGGTAAGTTCAAGATGCGTTTCTATGACGTCATACCACGCGATAGACCGAAGTATTACAACAGAACCAATGTCTAGATGCAATGTAATGTGTTCTGACCTTTTTTTTAACGCTGATAATATTTTATTGAAAAAAACAGTTTGAACAAAGTAACTATAAACAATTTCTTTTTCTTTTTTTTTTTTTTCTTTTTTTGCTATCTTCTGCCAGCCTCAATGATGGAGAAAGCATTACCTCGCACCATCGCCAGTGAGACACGCTGCAAGAGCCACTCTGTTTCGCCAGGCCCATCCCTTAATCGAGACGCTATTCCGCTAATACTCCGAAGGAACGCCATCGAACGAGGGCCAATAACCCCTGAAGTCTCCACAGGAGTAAAAAAAAAAAAAAATCTATAACCAAGAGAAGAATAACTATTTTTTTATATCTCTGCGTCTCAGGCGACGGACCCCGGCTCAACCGCGGACCTGATCAAATTACCAGCCGAAAATGTATCGGCACAGGTCGCATCCCAAATCAACGACTTCCCCATTTTAAAAGGGAAAATTGTAATGCCATTCGGCCGCTTTTCATCACCGCGGTCGAGGCCCAAAGGGTTCGAGTTGGAAAGGGAACCCAGCTGCATCCAAACCTCTTCTGGTAATGTCGTTTATTGCTGCATGCCGTGGAAAGCGGCCGGCACTACGACAACAGGAGTGAGGATGCAAACCAAGCTCATCGATGGAAGCTCCATATCTGCATCTGTGACGCTCACATAATTTGAGTCCAAGACGGATCGTGACTCCGACCCGAGTGCACTCACCATTTAGATGGGTACCGGTAGGTGAAGAGGGCACTGCGTTGAGCCAGGCGCCACTACTCGGTTGTGAAGCAGTAGACAGGCGAGGCGATGCTGATTCAGAGAGAGAGCCTCGAATTAGTAAAATTTGCCTCGCATTTTATTTTATCCCAGCTTTTTTGTTTTGTTGTGTCTAGTGGGATAGAAAGTAATTCTTGCGCCCAGACGCTGCAAGCTTGTCCGAGAAACACTGAGACAATCCACCGAGTATCTCATCAATTAATTCACGACTGGATGAAAGTGAAGAAAGATATGCTGAAAGGGCCAAATCTACCGCTGATCGAAGGCCCAGGCCTCCGAAACTCAAAGGGAGCTTTGACTGCCTCCAGTCTGTGTCGTCGAAATTAACGTTGCAAATTAGAAATCCTGTTCGAGGCAGCAATGTGCACTTCGGAGAGTGTAGAGGAAACTCGGTAGCGAAAAACTGTTCTTCAAGAGGAAGAGGAGTGGGTGTGCATCAATTAATTGCAATTTCTCAGTCATTCTTGTTAGAATGACATGCTTAGTATCCAAACACTCTCGAATGGCCATTGGGACCAAGAATGTGTAAATCCTCCTTAGGTGTTATTTTTATATCCTCAAGGATGAGTCTGATATTCCGGATAAAACTCTCGAAATCATCTGCACTATAATCCAAGTTTATTATCTCTGACTTGGACGTGTTAATCTCAAGTCCAAGCAGAGATAAAGCAGGAATAACTCGTCGGAGGTCAGCAGTTACGCCCTCGATGGATCCTCCCAACGTTGCATCGTCAAGATACCATATATTGAAAGGAGAGACGATGGAACGAGCTACCCCGTCAACAGCCATTAAAAATAGTAGCGGACCAAGTGGATCATCTTGCTGGATTCCAGTAGCAGAAGAGATAATATTATCGGAGGCGATCAACATACTTGGATGACTATACGAAAGATGAGCCAGTTTAAATATGGAAGGAGTCCGTCGATGGCAAACTTCCAGGGCATGATCCCTTCTGATGCTATTGAAAGCGTTTTTCATATCCAATTTTAATAAGATACGGCGGTAAGTAGGTGATGTATTCCCGAAAAATGATCTTGTGGCATGAACCGCGGTTTCGCAGCCGCTCTGTATGCCTACCCCGAGCTGGACAGGTCGCGATTCATGCCCTATCTCCTTCACAACAACTCTACAAGTCATTTTTGCCGCGAGACGACGAAAAATGTTACCAACAGCGATAGGGCAGATACCTCCGTCTTTTTTTTTTTTTTTTTTTAAAGCTGTTAATTTGGCTGAAAATATTAAGTCGCGATCATGTTGGGGTATCTCAGCTCGGAGAAGAAAGACTTCAGAGCGGCAACCATTGCTTCCTTTGAGATTTCAATATTTGAATCATTGTTTTCCATCTGGACAAATCTGACATCCGATGTTGGCGCGGGATGTTTCCGACGGAGATCTGTGAGAACTTCTGGTGTAGTAGCTAGTATAGTATCGGATGAGGCCAATACTCTATCTGCAGCAGAGATATCAACCTCGATCAACTTAGCATTGACGAGGGCACGGAGTCTCTTAGAATCGTCATCTGTAGATGAAGGATGAAATCTATTCGGATTAGAGAGATTAGAAAATTCAGTGGCATTTATTTTAGACGAATTGAATAAAGAAATGTTATTTTTCATAATAGATGAGTCAGATGATGTAGGGTCCTAATTGTAAGGAATGCCGAGCACAAGTGTTGCGAAAGAGAAAAGGCGATCCCAGTCAAACGAGCTGTTCAAGTTAAGTGCTTGGTCTATGGCAGTAGCCAAGGCATCGGCTGCCGGGATTCTGACAGATTTAGGGATTTTTAAAGGCACCTTTCGGAATTGCCTAAGAAGTGAGGTTGCCCTCAAAACTTCACTGGCATCTGTTTGGGTCGTTTCATTGCGTTGATGAATCACACTATCTCGTAGAGCCGAGAGAGACAGACAATGTGAACAACTCCAAACAACCAAAGACGCTGAAGCATTTCTAGTCGATTCCGCGCAAAATAAATGAAAAGACCGTTGACAATTTGAACAAATTCTGATTCTTTTACGCTTATTAATGCTGCCACAAGAGAAGCAACGATCAAATTCCGGCAAAGAAGAAAGAAGAGACATTTTTTCTTCCTTCCTTTTTCCTAAAATTAATGTAATACTTTTTTCTGTTAATTCTTGTAATCTCCGTTTGACATTAATGTCATTTTTTCCTTTCTTCGAAAAAATAATGTCTTGAATTACAAATCCTTTACAATAATGTTTAAAGTTTCCAACTATTAATTCAATAATGATTATTCCATTTACTTTTCAAATTCATATTTATCTTAATGCTTAATCCGACATTTTTACTTTCTTAAAAATCTGTTGAAATCAGCAGAGCTTTGAAAAAGTATTGGGCCTTGGAGAATATATGTGTTCTGACTAGTTTGAAATGTAATTTTTTAAAGTGTGGGTTGCTTCGTTTTAATGTATATGGTCTTCAATAGCCATATAAACTAACCTGTAACGTAACCCTCTACCTCGAGTGGTCACTGGGCCTTGTATAGGGAGAACCTTACTGTAAAAACAAACAAACAAAAACAAGCAACATTAGTACCAACGTCATCATGGACGACAAACCAGAGGAGCTGTGAAAAGAAGGAACCTGCAATGCAGAGATCCGCATACGGATCGCCACGGCCACAACAGCGATGGCCAGACTGGAAAGGACATGGAAGGGCAACATAAGCTTCCAGACCAGGTATAAGCTTTACAAATCGCTGGTCGTATCCATCCTTATCTACGGGTGTGAGACTTGGAGACTGCTAGCTGAAATAGGAAAATGGATTCAGGCGTTTGACCAAATGCCCGAGAAAGCTCCTCCGCCTCTCCTCTCCGGGGAACTCAAAGCCAGCGACTATGTCTTCGTGAGCCAGGAATCTGTCCTCTCTACGGAAGATGTCATGGTTTAGCCACGTCACACGGTATAACAGCCTCTGCATGACAATCATGCAAGGCACTGTTGAAGGCGGTCGGAAGCGGGGACGGCAACGCAAGAGCTGGTCAGACAAAAACAAAGCGTGAACGAATATAACAATACCGGTTCACCTGAGAGCCATCGCGAACAGATCACCTTGGAGGAGGCTGGCTGTTTCTTCTACACTTAGGTCCACACGATGATTAAAGCAGTCAAAAGATTGATAATGATGAAATAATAAAAGTAATATTAAATGAATGGAGGTTATTTATTCTTAACAATACAGAATTGTGGCACAAGGCCATGAGGAGGGAAATGGGGAGGAGACGCTCTTCATTAGCTATCCTAGTCCTAGTTAATCCGACTCACGACCCATTCATTCATAACAATTTACACATTCACCACAAGAACTCATCCATCGCCTCTCAATCTTGCATGAACCTGTTATACTGGAACACACCTATTCTATAGTTAATAGACTCTCCCACCAATAATAAGTAGTAGTAGTAGTAGTAGCAGTCGGCAGTGTGTGGGTCAGTCGGTCGACTGTTAGTCGGATATTAAAGTATCAGCCACCACAACTAGATTACTGCGTCATTACCTATTATATCAAATTCCTAACGTTTTTAACGTCGAACCTATTTTAGGACCGACTTCGTACAAATACACGCCTCCACTGTGAAGCCACTGCATAACAAAACCACAATACCACATATTCACAGGGGATCTACAAAACCCCCCATGACATAAAAATTTCAAATTTCATGATTCATGAAATGATGGGGGAGGAGAGAGATGAGCCTAGAAAACAAACTCAGTATGTAAACCAAATATAAAACTAAAACAAAACAATGTTAGTAGGAACCATCCGTCCTTCAAAATAATGAGAGGCTACTGTATTCTGTCGATCAACAGAATCAATCAACACACTCAGTAATGGTATCGGAAGGATAAAAAAAATGGCGGAAAAAAATGGTTTATAGTTATGTTGTTCTGGAATTGTCATCAGTGGTCAACTGTACTTGTTTTGTATCAGAAATCTTATGTAACGAGATGCAAATCTTGGCAAATGCTTATGCAATGAATTCGGTTCGTCGTTTGGTGCGCCATTAACATCACATGGAAATATAATAATAATAACCAGTCTCCATCGAGGAAACATTCGACTTGAATAGACAGAACAGCTATTATTACTGCCCGTTGAAATTTATAAAATATTTGTTTTCATTAAATGGCGGAATGGGAAAAATCAAAGTCTGACCTAGTCAAGATGAAAAATGGGGGACAAAAAACAAACTGAAATAAACAGGGAAGAATATTAAATCATGTTTTATTCGATAATTTGACAGAATTATGAAGTGACTGAGTTCAGGGTTAGGGCCCGTCTCTGACAGACATTATTTCTCCCTTGCGCCATTTTGTGTTTGAAAGAGCGCATGGTTAAGGACCGTTTTGCTGAATTATGACGATTACTTATATTTTGCGCTCCGTTTTATGCTCGTGAAACAAAAGCAAATGACTTGGTTTCTTTTGAATATTACGTAAATCACCAACGCTAAATTGTAACAGTCAAATTATTTTTCAATGTTCTTAAATAGCAGAAACATATTTTAAAAAATCATCTCGCAAGACTTGATCCTAACATTACAATCTTATACAACGGATCAGATGGATCAAGCCAAAAAGGTAAAAAGATAACGATTAAAAAATCGTTATTCATTTATTTAATTAATTAATTAATTTTAACGGCGTCAAAAACTGAATTTGAGTAATACGTAAAGTTTTTGTTCGATTTTCCAAAAAATGTCTAGACAGCTATTTTCGTAGCAAGATACATAATTAAAAACAGAATTGATTATAAGTCAAATTAATTTTAACGGTGTTAAAAACTGAATTTGAGTAATACGTAAAGTTTTTATTCGATTTTCCAAAAAATGTCTAGACTGCTATTTTCGTAGCAAGATACATAATTAAAAACAGAAATGATTATAAGTCAAATTAATTTTAACGGTGTTAAAAACTGAATTTGTTTTTATTCGATTTTCCAAAAATGTGAATTTGAGATACATAATTAAAAACAGAAATGATTATAAGTCAAATTAATTTTAACGTGTTAAAAATTGAATTTTTACGTAAAGTTTTTATTCGATTTTCCAAAAAATGTCTTGACTGCTATTTTCGTAGCAAGATACATAATTAAAAACAGAATTGATTATAAGTCAAATTAATTTTAACGGTGTTAAAAACTGAATTTGAGTAATACGTAAAGTTTTTATTCGATTTTCCAAAAAATGTCTTGACTGCTATTTTCGTAGCAAGATACATAATTAAAAAACAGAAATGATTATAAGTCTACTTCACTGAAAAAAAGATTGTTAATTTAAATTAATTTACTAAATTTTGCTATGAAATCATGCACTTACTCAACTATTTCTTCGGATATTATGTAGTTTGGGCAGCACATGGCCCCCATATGTGTGGAGGAGTCATTCCAGTTTGACCACCATTTGTGTGTGTGTGTGTGTGTGTGTGTGTGTGTGTTATTTCTAATTTATTTTGTTCAAACGTTATTTTTTTATGGATACTCATATTCGAGTAGAAGCTCCGATATTTTCATTAAACAGTATTTTTTTATCCAACAACATCTACCAGCCTGAATATTCGAGAAAACTTATCAAAAAATATGCTTCTCCGTGACTGGATCTGATGTGCCTAGCCGCTCAGCAAGGTAGAACTTCCCAAATACGTTTGGTACTTGCTCTTCATTTAATTTTATCATCTTGTCGGATTCATATACATATCTGATCTACATTTGATCTTCATATATATATATATATATATATATATATATATATATATATATATATATATATATATATATATATATATTATATATATTTAGGGGCAGCAGATCATTATTTAAACATATATTGTTAAATATAATGGACAGTGAATATCTATTATGTCTGATCATGAGCCGTTGTAATGTTCTTATGTTTGCTTTAATTTCCTTATCGTCCTATTCCTTCTATGTTGACATAATAAAATAATGTCTTCGATGGTGAATATCTTTGTTAAAATCTCTGAATAACCACTCTGAAGATGGCTTATGTGAGCCGAAAGCTTAGATCAAGGACCAACTTAATGAAAAAATATTCAAATGTTGAACATTTTTTGTTTTTATTTTCACCTGAAATTAAAGCAAACATACGAACATTAGAACGGCTCATGATCTGACATAATAAACACTTATCTTCTATTAAATCTAACAACATATATTTAAATATATATATATATATATATTAAAGACATTTTTATTTATGTTTAACGTTGTTATTTTTATAGATACAAGTATTTAAGCAAATGCTCTGTTTATGATAAACAGTATTAAATAACATTTACCGGCCTGAATGTCCGAGAAATTTTCATAGAAAATATTCGTTCATAGACAGGATTCGAACCTGCATCCTATACGGAACCGCCATATACGCTGGCGTGCCTTGACCACTCGGCCACCATGAACCTTATGGTAGACAAGGTCGAATTTACTGTTATAAACTACAATCTTCCATGAATCTCGTACATTCATAACTGCTCTGGCGTATCGAATGTAAACAAATGACGTCATATGTTAAGAAATGGACGAGGTCCGACAATTTATTTATTAAAACATTTTTATTTATGTTTAACGTTGTTATTTTTATAAATACAAAAATTTAACAAAATAAAAACAAAATTTTTAAATAAACAGTCGGACCATTTTCTTAACATATATATATATATATATATATATATATATATATATATATATATATATATATATATATATATATATATATATATTTCATTGAATACGACAGACAGGGTACTTTGATTTTGTTTTTGTACAATTTCTCATGCGATCTAATAATTTTCTTTTTCTTAAAAAACTGTCCGAATGTTCTTTTAATCCGAGCGCTTTCGGCTATACATTTAGCCATTTTAAAGGATGAAATATTTTATCTGTTAAATAAGAAATAGTTTGTTGCATTATATAATGGTTTTATTTTTAAAACACGGTCAAGATATTTCTTATTTAACAGTTAAAATATTTCATCCTTGAAAATGGCTAAATGTATAGCCGAAAGCGCTCGGATTAAAAGAACATTCAGACAGTTTTTATATAATTTATCATCTGAAAAGAAAACATTATTAGATCACATGAGAAATTGTATAAAAAAACTAAATGAAAGAACCTTGTCTGTTGTATTCAATGAATTGTGTATGAATGATGGATTTCTGCTTAAATACACAAATTTTATCTATCTATCTATCTATCTATCTATCTATCTATCTATCTATCTATCTATCTATATAGGGTAAGGCAAAAGTCGCGTAATATAGCGATAATTTATTCAAGTATAAAATTTTATTTGTTAGTTATTTAATTGTTATATGTGCTGTTCAAAATGTCTTCCTCCTTTTTCAAAACTCATTTACTTCTGTGCCTGCTTAATGCCTTAATACGTCGAAAAGTCTCCTCTGTCATTTTACTGCATTCATATTTAATTCTTTCTTTAAGTTCCTCAATATTTCTTGGGTGCGTCTGATAAACAGCTGATTTCGAACGGCCCCTAAAAATAAGAAAATACCAAAACAAATTAGACATATAAAACATGATTAATCAATTAACCATTTTGGTGGACGACTTTTTTTTGACTCACCCTGTATATGCAATGGCTGCAAGCAACAATTTAACTCAGCAGACAACGACAGTTTACTTATTTTTGTCTGGTATTTTTCTTATATGATGCCGTACATTGCGATCAAAATTGTGGATAAACTGTACAAAGTCCATGTTTTTTTATTCTGTTTTCAATCAAGTATTTTTGTCTTCATCATCATCAATAACTGGTTGTTGTCAGTATATGATAAGCCAGATTATGTTGGATAAAATCAGATATTTTAAAGACCTCATTTTTTTTTCTCTATGAGCCGTTTTTATTCAGGACGTGTCCGGCCGGGACTCTACAATTTCCTGCCCTTTTATCACCTTATTACTCTCACTCAGTGTTCTGTTATGCATCTACACAAGCTGGTTAATTAGGTTACTTGGTGTTTCCTTCTGACCCTCTTGCTTTCAATATCTCCTGTCAAGATCTCCAAGCCTTCTTTCTTTATTATGCGTCCCAAAAATTTCAACTGTCTCTGGTACGAAGTATTTAAAAAAAATTACTTCAAGGGAAATAACTGTCAAATGATAACTGTGGAGTACTGTCCCTTAGTTATTTATCTCTATCTTTATAATAAAGAAATAACTAAGGGACAGTAGGCAGGATGTGTGTGTGTGTGTGTGTGTGTGTGTGTGTGTGTGTGTGTGTGTGTGTGTGTGTGTGTGTGTGTGTGTGTGTGTGTGTGTGTAACGAATGCACGGCCGCAATTTTCGACGGATTTGCACCAAAATTTACATGCACATGCTCCAAGTTAGCGGGAAGGCCAACACCGACTTTGCATTTCCCAACTCCCATCGATAGTGGAAATAATCGATTTTTTCATGCTTCTACAGCAGTTTTCATGTAGTTTGCAGCCATTTTCTACTGGCCAGAGTGAGAGCCAATAGCTGGGTTCCACGAATAGGCAGGAAGATTCTATTGGTCAGCGTGTGAGCCAACAGCTGACTGACACGAATGTTAACTAGCAAGCTAGCATGCAAAAAATCGATAGCTGCATTCGTCACAAGTGGGAAAAATTTAATTCTGCATGGTACTTTACTCCAATTGGCTCATTCGCCTGCTTAAACTCAACGTTGATTCTGATTCCGCAGAACTGGGTTGGTGTGAAAAAGTTAACATTCTTTTTTCATTCGGTTTTTCCAGTTACGAGTCCTTTTTTGAAGCTGATCGTTTTGTGTTCATTTTGTTTAGTTCTTTTTTCGTAACAGATTTAATGTTTAGTATAGAGCTTAGAAAAAATTCGCAGTGTGTGATAGGCAAGAAGTAAGGCATGTAGCAACATCAGCACGGCAAAGGTCACTTCTTTAAAGGCAAGGAAGGGAAAAAATATTTTAAGTCAAGTGATAGCGATTGCTGTATGAGTCGTACGATTTTTGAATCAAGCACGGGCAACGCCGGGCCATGCTGCTAGTTTATTTATGGAAAAATCCTCATATGATACCCTGAATCCATCGCTATCAATGAAGGAACAACTTTAATTCCATTTAATTATCGTTCCAATAGTAACTCAATAAGTTACAGATTTATTAGGATTTTTGTTTGTTTTTTCAGTATATTTTTCTACATACTGTCGGATCTATATCCATATATTTGCTTTTATATATATATATATATATATATATATATATATATATATATATATATATATAATGAAATGGATTAAGTTCAACAGTTATTTTAATATATTTTCTGCCTATACGTTATTTTTAAAGATACAAATATTTAAGTAAATGCCCGTTTATAATAAACATTATTAACAATATTTACCGGCCTAAATGTAGCTTCCTTTTTAGCTAAATGGTATAGCACGTCAGGTTCTATGACGGTTCCGTATAGGATACAGGTTCGATCCCTGTCGGAGGCCTCATATTTTCTATGAGATTTCTTGAACATTAGGCCGGTAAATGTTGTTAATTCTGTTCATTAAAAACAGAGCATTTACTTAAATATTTGTGCCTATAAAAATAGCGTTCAGACAGAAAGTATATTAAAATTTGAATCCTTGCATATATATTAAGAAATTCCGCTTCAGAATATGTGAGGCTGGATAAGAAAATAATTGTACATTTCAATTACCCCCCCCACTTACTTTTCTTCTTCTTCTTCTTCTTCTTCTTCTTCTTCTTCTTCTTCTTCTCCTTCCTTCTTCACATCCTCCTTCTCCCTTTCTATTACACCCAACATTTTGCGTTTGTTTATTTACTTCTAAAATAGTAAGAAAGCGTTCGATTGTTTTTTAATCTAGAAAATAATGTGTTGAGAGGTCACTTGATAAAAATTACCTGAGGATACCATAAGGTCAGAATCAAGGTAGTGGATACGACTGACCTCCTGAATTTTAAAGTTAAAACCTCTAAATGTCATTTTTCTTTTCTTTCTTTTATTTTTTTCACACATGTATTGAGCACTTCTTAATATTACTGTTTCCTGGTCGGATTCAACTCTAACCATTAATATTTTATGTAATATATATATATATATATATATATATATATATATATATATATATATATTTGGTTGGATCTCTATCTCTGATATTGAGCGCTTTCTAATAAGTACCGCGCATATAATATATAAATAACTAGCAGTAGAGCCCGGCGTTGCCCGGGGATGTAACAGTAAGAGATAGATCAAGTATCGACCATCATAAAGACTGAAAAATTAAATTGACAAAGATTATTGTTTAAGGTTGAAGGACATGCATGTCTTAATTAGTTTTTTTTTTTTTTTACGAATTGGTCAAACCCAAATTCAAACAAAAACATTGTTTACAATCGTTATGAGTCTATCGATTGGGGAATAGAATTTTATTATAAACAATTGTCTTGTAAATGGAATTTTTAAAGCATTCTGAATGAAAATAAAGAAAAAAGTGTGCAAGACAATAAGAAATACTACCTGCCGAAAAAAAAAGTGGATGTTTGTTTTATCGACTGAAAAATGTAAGAAATCCGATCCCATATATAAAGGAACACACACACACACACACACACACACACACACACACACACACACACACACACACACACACACACACACACATAAACAACCTGGGTCTTTTAACCTAAGTCACTCCACGGAATCGCTAAAACATAAAGCATAGTCTGATGTAAAAGACGCCAAAGTTTATGAAAACAAAATTTTATCGTCAAAATGCTTATTTTTTATGAAGAGGATAGACTAAATTTTTTTTTAATTATTTTTAAAAAATTTTTCCATCTTTTTAGAATATTCTAAATTTTGATTTAAAAAACCTTGTTTCTCTTTGTCGCAACAAGGGGTAGTAAATAACATAGATAATTTTTAGCGCATTTTTTTGTATTTACACACATTAATTTTGAAAATCTTGCAAAAATAAAAATAATTGTCAGATGTTAATGAAACTTTCAGAAACTATTCAAAGATGATCGAAATTATTATAAATATTTTTTTTTATTAAAGTCATGGCAGAAATATTTTTTTTTATATTTATTAACACCCCCATAATTAATTTTATGAATAACTCTAGAAATTCGAGACCATCGGTTTTAGTGATTACAATAGTTAAAAGCACAAGGCTTTGAAGAATGCAAATCATGTTTTTTTTTGTTTTGTTTTTTTTGGGCCAACGTACCTGAAAATCAGCTGTGAATTGTAACATACAAAACTCAATAAAACAAATATATTATTTAGTTTCAAATGCTTTTATTTGTTTTAATTTGTTTTTATGAATATGGACAATATTTTCTGAAAGCAAAAAATTTTTTCAATGAAAATTGAATTTTTAATACAATTATTTCTTTAATTTTAAAAAGATTTTAAAAAAATGTTTAAATTGAATTTAAAAAAAATATTTTAACATTAGTTAAAAGCAACATCAACCTTTCAAAATGTCCGTGTGAGATTGTCATTGTCTAGCGCTTTGAAAATTGTATAATTTGGACCATTCAGATTAGCCATGGTAATTAAGAAATGTAATTTTTGTGTTTATAGTCGAACAGTAATTATCAAGTACGGAAGACCAACCAGAATACAATTTAGTTGCATTATTTGAGTTCAGCATTGTTCTCCGCTGTTAAGCCCTTTTTACTTTTGCAGAAACACGTATGGAGAAGTTAATTTGAGTTTTCAATTTCAACTGAGAAGGGTACCTACAAGTAACTGTATCATCTTATGAAATTTAACTACTGCTAAACTTTAATTTATATGATCTTATTTTTATATTAATCTCAGTTATGACATTTTTCCATAAATGAAATATCAAAATTAATAATAAATGAATGGAAACACAAATAACACAGTAAAATGTAATAAATGTACATAAAATTATAGTATTTTATGTACACTTCTGATAAAATTTCATAAGAAAAGTACCTAAATTAATTAGATACCTTTTTCTTATGAAATTTAATCTCACTATTATTAACAGTCTTATTTTTTAATTTCTTTATATTTTCCATAAAGCATCGTAAACGTAAAAATGAAAGCTAAGTACAAAAAAAAAAATAAATAAATAAAAAATAAAAAATTAGAGCGCTGAAAGTTTTCCTTAAAAGTAACAAGGTAAATAATTTGTTCACTTAAATAATTTCACTTCCTTCCATCCGTAGAAAGAATTCTCCTCCCGTTAAGTTATCTAATACATGAATTATTCACACAAAACTAAT